ATTATAATTAATTAATGATAATTATAATTAATTGAAATTAATTATAATCAATCAAATAACTATAATTATAATTAATTAATAATTATCAATTAATTATAATTAGAAAATTAATTATTATTATAATTAAATAACTATTAAATATAATTAATAAGAATTATAATAATAATAAATTAAAATAAAATGAATCAAAGAGGAAATCCCTCTGTTCGGCGGATTGACGGGATTTGGCCGCAGAAAACCACGCAAGGGAGAAAGTTACCTACACTGACAATGAGTTCCCTTGTTGTTTCCGATCAAAACAGGAAGGGAAAGTCGGTCGAAGGAGCAAAGTTGACAGCACAAAGGAGTCGGAGAAGCACGCGATCGGGAGAAAGTTATCTTTGCACGAGCGAGGTCCCGTGACTGCTTCCGATCCAAATGCTGTAACTCTAATCCCGCCGGGAGGGAAAGTCGTCGGAGGGAGCAAAGTCAGAAAGCCATGAGGGAGCCGGAGAAACTACGCGAAAGGGAAGAAGTTATCTTCACAGCGAGCAAGCGCCCGTTCTTGTTCCGAACAAAATGGCAGAAAAGTCATCAAAGGAGCGGTTGACCGACCACGATGGGGTCGAAGCAGCGATCGAAAGGCGGATTGGGAACGAGCGGGAGCAGAGAAGAGGCTGATCGACGAGAGCCTCGTCGCTTTGGGCTTTTAACGACTCGAACTAGTTGTGCGAGCGATCGTGGGGAGAAACGACGCGAGGCATGGCCTCGACGTGCGACGTGGGAAGAACGGCGTGGAGCAGAGCAGGTAAGGGATTTAACTCTTTTTTTTTTTAATTTCATAAACGGGTCAACAATATTGTGTAACATTAACATAGCCCTCATTCCCTCAAGGGTAGAACAACCATTATGGATAGATGCTTAGTCAAGGAAATGTGGCAAAGCACATATGCTCGAGTTTGTTCGCCTTGGCCTTTTAAAGAAGCTTAAGATAGGGGTTTGGGTCCAAGATATCCAAGGTTAATTGTTTTGATCTACTTAATATCAAGGAATATCATAGCTATGTTTTAGTTGTGGGATCATTAAGCATAAGGTTGGACAGTGCCTAAGCAATATTAACAACCATCCAGTAGTATTCATCCCAATTAAGCAAGCAGACCACAGGCCGCCCATCCAAGTGTGTATATCCCAATGAAGCAAGTAGTCAACATATGTGAAATCTAGAGAATGATTATGGTTTCAAGAAAATCCTAATTTTCAATTTAGTCGTATCTGTTCGTACAATTCGATTAGTTCAATTCTCCATTCCAGTACTGTACGATAAACGTGGGTCTGTACGATCAATTCAAACTTTTTCACTGATCGTCTAGTACGATAATAGGATTGTACTGTACAATTGAATTGTAGTTTGTTTGGGACGAACTCTTGGATGACCAAAAATTATTTCTGTCGATCATCTAATACAATCTTAATCGTATAGTACGATCTTAACAGTTAATTACCTCAAATTTGATTGTTTAATTATAGGGATTAAATTAGGCAAAATTTTAATGATATCATATAGTAAGATTAGGATTCTATTGGATGATTATACTAAAATTTAAATTTTAAAATATTGCCTAATATCAAACGATGGTGGGATTTTTGATTATAAATTGATTGTCATGTATGATCTGAAATGTATGGTATGATTAGTTCATTATTTCTTATAATTTTTCTTTTTCTTAATTTAAATGTTTTAATTAATTTCTGATTGCACAGATCGTACAATATGATCTAGATTATCCAGTACAATCTTCATAAAAATAAAATAAAATCTTATGTTTCACTCCCTCTATGTGTGCGCATGGTTGCTAAGCCAACATGTATCTTTTTACATTGATTGACTGAAGAAAATAAAAAGTACAAACTCTTGATTAAAATGTTGTATAGGCATATTGTTTAGTATGATTAGTTCAAATAGCAAAATATCATGAGAAGCAACATCTATTTGATGGTACATGATTGACTTTGTATAGTGCGATTGACATCATCCTGATTTGCATTTATGGCCCACTTAACTGTTGAAGGTTTAACTTGATTCATTTAAGAAGGCAACCGTGTAGTTGACATGCATTGTATAGTATTGTAACTATTGTTAATTCAAATTTTGAATTAATTTGATTAAGGGAACAGTCTTATAATGGTAATGTATTTGAATTTAATATTCATTGTTCGGTACACTTAATATCATATGATATGATTAAATCATGATATTAAATTGATAAATTTCCTAATTAATACTGATTGCTCTAATTTGATTCTACGGATTAAGTATATATTATATAGTATAATCATGATTATATAGTATGATTAGTTATCAAACTTATTCTTTAATTATTTTTATTATTTTTGAAAGAAAAATTTAAAATTATTATTTTTTCTCACTTTAGAGTGTGTGTGTGCTCTGTTTTACAAATTTCTTTTACATAGAACATCTAAAAAAAACTTAAAAAGTATAACTCATGACTCAACTCTTAAACCTTGCAGTTTGAATCACTTTCGATCAGACTTGATGCTTTTGGGCTTGATTTCTTGATTTTGTCCTCATCATCGTAATTTACATGCTTGCTTGAATTTTCTTGGAATCAAGTTCATATACTCCATTAGAATATAGTGCTTGCGTATACTTGCATTTGTTACTTGTCCAAAAAATAATTTAGTAATGATTTAACTAAATCATATTTTTGGCCATTAAAACATGTGCTATGAGTTAAGGCTCATGGGGGAAAACTTGTTGCAATAGTAGATATTGTTGCTTTGATCTCTAGTTCTATGCTTTCCCCCATTTTATTCCATCGTAATAAATTATCAATTGAACAGGGGAGAGTCAAACTCAAAAGGTGCAATGAAACATGCGAGTGCTTCTCATGCACGCTTCCAAGCTCGACATCTTGTACGCGTACTCTGCAAACAAACCTGTGCATGAGATGGATGCAAAGCACACCTGATTTGTTGTACCTTTGGCTTTTGAAGCAACCTTTTAACACCACTTTATGAGGATTGTTAATTGTTTTGCTTTAGTTATTTGGATTTCTTAAATCTTTTACGTACTTTCTGTTGAAGTTAGTGATAGGAGAGCTTTGCTGGAAGGAATTCACCGCAAACAAAGTACATCTTGGTTATGCATGCACAGGAACAAAAGCCAGTTCGAATAAATAGCTCTTAACCTAGCGTAAAAAAATAATTTTGGCCTCTTTTTAGTCTTTATAGTTTTTTAGGTAGATTTAGATGATAATTTAAATCATTTGTTAACTTCTTTAGAAAATATCTATAACTTAATATTATGGTTTGATATTAAGTTAAGCTCATTTCAATCTAGTTTCCGCCTCTCTCTTTCTAAGGATAATTATTTAGTGTTAAATAAGATCACTTTCACTTAATTTTCATCAGTTTTAAAGAATTTTCTTTACTAATGAACTAAATTATAAGCATAGTTCTTTTTAATATGGAATTTTCCTATTTGTGATCTGCATTTATTTTGGTTTCTCATGATGTTACTGGTTGATACTATAATGAATTTTCTTTTCCTTCATGAGAACGACATCATTAGTTTCCTTTCTTCATTAGCAATGTTTTTTTTTTTCGTCTCACAGGCACAGCAATTGTTCCAACGTGATGCTCAAACTATCACGCCAGAGGCGCTAGAAAGTGTGAAGGCTGCACTTGCAAGTAGTGAAAATGAACATAAAGCTGAAACTAAGAAGAAATCGATCCCACGTAAAGCGGCAGGACAGACTTGGGAGGATCCAACATTGGCAGACTGGCCGGAGAGTAAGTTATATTTCAATGCTGCATTGTAATCATACCTGTCTTAGAATGATGTGCGCTTTGTCATTCTGGGATGTCTTTGTTTCAGATGGTAAAATGTATTCTGTAATGTTTTTATATTACTCTTAAAATTAGAGTGCGCCAATTGATGCAGAAGTGTTTAATTTGTAATTTACCATTTTTATTTTTCAATTTGTTATATTATGTTTGTTATGACTTATGCATATCCAATGAGTTATTTTTCAAGTTTTTGAAACATTTAAAAGACTTAATATGAATTTATGATATTTAGTTGATTAATATAATTTTATGAATACTAGCTATTTGTGAAGCTATGGAGGGGCACTGGAATATAGAATTATGAAAAATTACAAATGTGGTGGATTGTTAAAAAAAATATGTGTCTAAAAGTTCATTACATTTGCTATTTTTGTGCCAAGGTAGTTACTGGAAAATAGAATCAATTAATGGACTTCAAATAATTTTTTATTAATCTTGAAAAGCATATGATCATATACAATGAGATTTTACTGAATGGGGTTTTAGGAGAAATAAGTTAAGGCAAATTTTGCGGAAAGTTATCAAGATTTTTGTAGAGCTATGACTAAGCAAAGAGCTCTACCTCAACATATGTACCTTGGTTCTAGGGCGGATGTCATCTGTTTGAGTTTGGCCTTTGGCTTTCTTAAAAAGTAAGTACTCTTTGGTTTCTTGCATGAAATTCGATGTATAACTGACTTTGAACTATCTTTATTTATAATTGGCCTGATGCTTGTTTATTTCTAAGTTGTAACTAGTCTCGTGCTTGCTTAACATTAATTGGTCTCATGCCATATTTTAAGTAATCAAGTTTGGAGCTATGACTAGTATGCCAAAGTAATTTTTTTGAGTAATTATATTTAGATCAATATTTGTGTCTAGATCATTTTGAATTGATTATATAGATGCTTATAAATGATATTTTATGCAAGGTATTTTAGTATATGCTATTTATGGATTTAATGTTGATATTTGAGACATTTGTTTTTATAGGAGGTGGATAACTTGAGTAATGAGGGAAAGTTTTAGAAGATGAGGGTTAATATTTATTACTACTATGTTAGTACTACAAAACTAATCTGTAGAGCACATAAATGTGCTTTTAAAAAACCTATTGCGACACAACGGATGTTTGCATCATTTAGGTAGGTGTTGTAATATGATAAAACTGCATATTTATATGCCCCCAAAAAATGTAATAATGACAACACTTAGACGTGATGTGATCAACATCTAATGCGGCATGTAAATAATATCAAACAATATAAAATCGTTTCCATTTTACTTCATATATATATATTATAGAGAAAAAAGATTGTCCTAAAATGTTTTTCTTGCTACAAATTTACGTGTCACAATAAAAACCTATAGAAAAACTTAGATGTTTCACTTTTTTTTTTTAAGATAATTATATTTGAATTATTTAGAAATTATATCATGGTTTTAAAAAACTTCAAATCAATCTTTAACAACAATCCATCATAGATAGCATAAGAATATTTATCATTAATATTTATAAAGATTTTTTTTCTTAGCTTTCAAATTAACTCCATAATAACAGCACTTAACTGATATTTCAATGATTAGGTATAGTTTTGCAGATTATATCAAATTATATTAAAATACATCACTTCCAAAATGCTTTAAATGACAATTTTCAAATCAAATTATATTAATTGATTGAAATAAATATAAAACATGTCATAAAATGGAATATCGTAGTTTATCAAAATGCAAAATTAAAATTACATCATCATACTTATGAGTACCATTCTTGTGAAATTTTAAAATAAATAAACTAATAAAAAAAAGGTATTTGATTAAAATAATGACAAAACATGACATAAAATGGAATCTCATAGTATATCAAAAGACAGTCAAAATTACATCAGGATACTAATGATTACTATTCTTATGATGTTTTGAAAGAAGAAAACCAGAAGTGATAATCCTTTAAACGAAATGACCTTTTTCCTTATTTGGTAAATTTCTCATTCCATCTTGCACAACTTGTAAAAAAAGAATTATGATAGTATGTTTAATAGAATTGATAGCAAATATTTAAGAATAGCATTCACATACAAGTGATATATGCTTTGCAATAGAAAACCTGCCGACATCTCCAAAGTTTTTAAAATTTTCTACTTTTTTTTTTTTTTGCAATTTTATGAGAATCTAAACACCTCTAATGGTTGGGATGGTGATTCTGTTCACATAAATTAAAATAAAGGAGGTGGAGTGAGAAGTCCTTCAGGTTGATTTCAGCAAACTATACTTATGTAAAACTTATATGGTTACAAAGACGGCCATTTAGGTCAATTAAAGCTAACATAAAAAATATAGAAATAAAGTACAGGCACATGAACAAGCAGGGAGAGTTAAGACAGCACAAAGATGCTTGTTACAGAATCGTCCTTGCATAGTTATAGCAGAAATCAATAGCAAATGGAAAATGAGCTAATAATGGATCAAGTGAGACTGATCAATGCTCATTCCAACAAATTACTTAAATAAACTGAAACTAATAAAATATGCAATATGCGAGTCATTGAAAGAAATTAACAATTAGTACAAGGGAAAGAGAGAGTCTGAGCTCGAAGGAGAATTAGGAAAATATTATATTATGGAAGGAATCCTGATAGCTAGTTTAAGATGAAATCTTATACAGAATCAAAATAAAGGGCAACTTATGTTTTTGCCAAGACCAACTACCCAAATGGAACATCCCCATTTGTTCAAATAGAAACGGTCATCAACCCATGAGCTGATGATGCTCCACAATGCTCTATAAGCAAGTATTCTTTGTAGTTCACACTGAAATTCATAAATTGGAGAAGCTAAAACAGTTGATGCGAAGTAGGATACTGAACTTATTTATTGGATTACAGCCTTTGTGGAACTCCAGAATTTTGTGATTTTGAGATAGATTACTGTGTCCTAACTTTACTTGGAAACAGTTAAGATAAATGCACCAAAAAATTGACTAAAATGAATATCTTAATTGAGATATTAGAGATAGATGACCAAAGCTAAATATTTTATTGCTTATTCTAAAACAATGTCTGCTTTTTGCAAATTAATATCGATCCTTGCATACATGTGAAGCTGCAAGCTTGAGGTAATATTTTCCTTCAAAATTCTAGTGATCAATTGGCGTTACAAGCACTAAATGACAAAATAGTGTAAATTCATAAAACCGAATAATGTTAGGGTGAATCTTGCATGACAACGAAGCCATGAAGTGAAGATGGAGCAATGACGCCTCCACTTGGCATTCCTTGGCCATTGCATCCTTCATTGTTGATTGGATGGCAAAGAGAGAAGTAATTATGAATGGGGGAATAGGCTAGTGTAGAAGCTCTCTAAATTCAATCCCCTTAAAGTCCCAAATGTCTGAAGTTTTTAAGGAATACAAATTTCTAGTGGTTCTTGACTTAAATAAAAACTTGATGGGTTTTAGTGATGCAATGATTTTGGAGAGGTACTTTGTTGTTGTTCATTTTGCTAAGATGAATTGGCTTGCAAATAGGAATTTTGCTTCAGGATTATATGGTTGGATGGCTAATGTTATTACTAGACTTTAGTAGGCCTTGTTGGTGTTAACCTAAGAAAATATGGAGATTTGAATATTTCTTATGAATAAATGATGAATCATGCAGGAATAGCAACTATAATTTCTCCTTATCGAAAGCATCATAAGTTGGTATGCCAATAACCCATGGTTTTCCTAACTCTGCTATCAAAAGGTTTCAGTTAAACATCAATGTCATATTGTGGTTGATTTGGCCAAAGTATGAACAAAGAAAGCATGATAAATGATGGCTTTATCAGATGTGTTGTGGTAATTTGTATGACATCAAAAGCACAAGCCATGTATTTTAAATAGTAATCATTGTTCTACAGAGACTAAATCCATCTTATGCTAATTCTAAATGAAAAATATGAGGATCTTTTTAAAAAAATTTTGTTCTTGTAATCTAAAATTTTCCAACTTAGAGAGTTGGTAGAATGTCTCATGCAACCACCCTGGATATGATTTTCATGCATGCCAATCTATATTACTTTGTAGTGTTTGACGACATAAATAATTTTGATTTTAGGAGAAAGTGCCACATTATTTTAATTGCAATTTTTTAGTTTCCTTTTTCCTGAAATCTCTTAAGGTATTATTCTCTTGAATAAATAACCTCAACTCTTGACATTCATCACCTCTTATTTTCATATAGGCCTTAATATAAATTGCAGTCATTGTAGTATGCATAATACTTTTTGTATCCAATGCCCCAATTTTCAGTTAACTTCTTAGACTCATAGTAAGAATTTGAAAGTTGGATGCCCTCAATTATTTTTCTTAATAAATCAATTAATATGACAAACAATTTATAATGAGAAAAGGATCAAAATGGTCCCCCAACTCTTAGTGAGGAATCAAAATGGTCCTCCAACTCTTTGTGAGGAATCAAAATGGTCCTCCAACTCTTTGTGAGGAATCAAAATGGTCTCTAACTCTTATGAGGGCCCAATTTGGTCCCACAACTCCTTAAAAATGGACTTTTTTGGCCCTAAAATCAATTTTTGGGATTAATGGTGTTAAATCAAGGGGTATTTTGTCATTTTTAATTAAATTATTTATTTAATATAATTTTCAAATAATTTTAATTTAAAAAAAATTATTAATCATTTCTTTAGTAAAAAATTATCGATAATTCTAATTTTAATTTAAATTTTTTTATTAAATGTATGCTCTATGGCTCAAATTCAAGGATGCTCTTAACTCTGGAGTAGTGGACGAGGTTAGTGCGGTGAACAACGGTGAATCCATGGAAAAATATTTGTGGTGAAAAGGAATAATCAAAATCAACTTTTTATTTTCACGATTTCTAATCATTTCCGCCTATATAAAATCTATATAGAGTGTCGAAACTCTGTAGCAAAGCCATGAAATACCTACGAGACGATTATGT